CTATGCAATATCTTCTATAACTCTTGCAAATGAGACGTGAGCTGAAAAGTTAGGAAACACTGGACATCTGTCCCTACCTGGTTGGGTCTCATCAGCTGTGCGAATCCCTCGACCCTACTAGGGCTCGAACCCAGGACCTAACATAAGCATACTACCCCCCACCACACGCACACATTGTTTGCTGATATTACATAGTACTTAGTATTGGCCAATTTGACTATTAGTATTATCAATATTGTGTACTATTATTGGAAGGTCAGTTATTATTATTATTATTAATATTAATAATTCTTGGCTGTTTTCAAGAGGTGTTTCGCGTCGTACATTTTTTCTGAGCGGTTTTTTCACATCCACAGCTGATCCTCAGTTGTCAATGCCTAAATCACTAATCGGTCTCCCTTCGCCCCGAATTGTAAATCACTGAATCTTCACCCTCCTCGTTTTTCGCACAACCTATATAGTTCTGTTATTTATAATAAATTTTAAAAAGTTCACGCCCACACCCGCATACATATTTGAGACATTCCGTAACTATATCATCCGAACCCAATTAGTTTCGAACGCAGTATCCCTGTACCGGATTGGTGTTCGATGATAGAATGAATCTCAGACACCGAATCCCGCCGAATCCGCGACAGAACACAAGGCTGGCCGAGCATCCACACTTGAACGGATAGATACAATTAGCTTTCAAACTGAACACGAGTTTGAAGATTATCGACCTTTCTTGGTGGAATCTGGATCTTCATCCCCATAGAATATCATGTTGTGTTTGTGTAAATTCTATTTGCAAACGCGTGTTCTGTTCGAACACTTTTATCATCAGTTAAAATATACAATTAGATTTGGCGTGGGGAGACAGCGGTTATTTCATCGATGGTATTGGCAACCGGGTGATGTTAAAAACAACGATGAGATCAACGATAGAACAACAATGGTCCGTGACTGTAATCAGGCAGTTAAACGAAATCGTCAGGCTGAGGTGCAAGATTGCTATGCAGCGCACCAGAATTGAGTTCTTTTTGAAATTCATCGAGCATAATCGTTATCCAATTTCTTGTTGTGTCGCGAAAACATTCGTCCAACTTCCGAGAATTTAAAACGATATGCCAAGTGGCACATTGAGAAATGCAACGACAGACTTAAGGAATTGTTATCAATTGTCTCTAAAGCACCAAATGTTGTTGACCAGTTGAATCTTGTGTGCTCTATCAAATTCAGGAACTTCTGTTCGGATTGTATTCTTTTGAACTGAATTCACTGGGAAATTTACTGGTGGTGGCGCAGTGGTTTAGTGGCTGTCACCGGCGTGCTTTGGACCCTGTGGTCTGAGGTTCGAGCCCCGCCACCGCCACCCGACTTTGGTGGTAGGCAACTCTGCTGTCGTCCGGTTCAATACCACACCTAGCTTATCGGGGCCTTATGTGGTTCGCCACTCCAAGTTCCGGGGCTTAAGTTGCCATTTCAACCACTGAACAGCAGGTCCTCGTGACTATGGGGTTTACCCCGTCTGCTGTTCATCACACCTAGGTGTGTAATAAAAAAAGAATAGTATCATCCTTCCTCAAAGACCTGTGCAAATTTGTGTATATCTTCGTGTAAGCTCAGTCGTCTACAACTTAAATCATTATCATGTGGTCTTAACTACCGGGTTCCGCCACAGAAGTGTAATCCTGTAGATTTCCAAGCGAAGATGGAAGCCTTATTTGATAATTTCTCAACCCTGCAAGCGACAAATGAGGATACCCTTGGCTAGTTCAAAGTAAAATTAGTGGACATGGAACACCAGTATCAATCGAAATCAATGCGGCAACACGGCAACTACTGCCTGAAGCCCACTTAGGGGCACTGAAGAAACTGAAAATTGAATGACGATGTGGTTGTCCTGAGTCCAGATAAAGGATCCGGTTTGGTTCTAATGGATAAGGTTTGTTGTAAAGAAAAAAATGTTCCCTATTCTGAATGATGACAGAACAGTCAGAGTGAATAGGACAACCGATGATCCGCGAGAAATGGGGGAAGAAAATCAGTATCGAACTGAAAACGTTGATGCAAGCGGGACTGATTCGAGAATCCACGGTGAAACAACCACATCCGAGAGGGAGTCAAACGCCACAAATTTAGGGTTTGCCAAACCTACACAAAGAAGGCATTCCACTGTGACCCAATATGTCCATGTGCAACTCGCCATAAAACAAATTAGCCAAGTGGTTAGCAGAAAGGCTAAAAACGGTACGAGACTCTATTTCTCACTATAATGTGAAAGACAGTTTTCAACTGTGCACATTATTGATAGACAGAAACATTCAAAACAAACACATGGTTACTATGGATGTAAATGCGCTTTTTACCTACGTCCCCTTACTGGGGACCATTGTGATTATTCGTCCAACTATGGAAGGAAAGAGCATCCATGTTGGACTACCAGTGGATGAACTAGAAAGGTTTTTGTTGTTCTGTACCCATAATGTGAGGTTCTCCTTCTTAGGTGAACCATATCAACAGATAGATTGGGTCGCTGTGGGCAGACCTTTGGAGCCCATCCTCGCGGACATTTTTGTGCGGACATCTGGAACATCAATTGACGGACGAAATTAAAAAGCTGAACCTATACTGCCGGTATGTTGATGATATATTTATCATTTGTGATGCAAAGGAAGACGGGGAGAGATTATTTGAACACCTGACTAATCTTCACCCGAACATAACGTTGACATGTAATACCGAAACGCAACACAGCATCGCCTTTTTGCATGCGGAAGTTTCACGTCGAACGGATGAATCAATCAGAAGATCTGTGTACGGAAAGAATACATGGTCCGGACAATATCTCCATTTTACTAGCTTTACTCCAATGGGATATAAAATTGGTCTAGTCCGAACGCTCTTCTACAGAGTGAGTGAGTTTGCACAGCGGACAAGATTATAAAAGTTTTATGATCTAACGGATATCCGAAAGGGCTCATCTTAAAGCACTCCCAACCCAACCATACACGGGAAAAGATACCAGATGCAGATAGGATGACAATGGTCCTGCAACGGCCATTAAAGGGTGACAATATCTGCTGCCTGATTACCAAACGCCTAAAATCGGCCGTTAAGCGGACCTACTACGCAGCTGATCCCATTGTTGTTTTTACAATCGCCCGGTTGCCAGTATCATCGGTGAAAGATCCGCTGTCTCCCCAAGCCAAATCTAATGGTATCTATCAGTTCAAATGTGGATACTCGGCCATCTATATCGTCTGAACGGAGAGGCAATTGGGTTACCGAGTAACCGAACACATCCCGGTCTGGCTTCAGAAAACAGTGAAATATGAGGTCACCAATGATGCGTAAGAAACTCAGTTCGTCGATCACACAACACCTGGTATCATACAGCGTGACTCGTTCAGAATTCTCTACAACACAAACAACACCAAGGTTCTGAAATACGCCGAGGCACTGGTCATTCAAAATTATGATCCCAAACTGTGCAAACAGCGTGAGTGGCTTATCACTGTGGCGCTATCTCGATAATAAATGTGTTTGGTGGGTAATTTTGACCGAAATCTTTTTCCGACCATGATTCTGTTATTTACTGACCACATATTAATGATCACATAAACTGCAATATGTGCACGTGTACAGATGCACGGAACTGATCCAGGGGATACATTGTGCAAACCTGTGTTTTTGGCTTCACTATTCCAATTACTACGAAACAGTTTTCATGTGGAGTGGAGGCAATTGATTACTCTAACAGGGGATGCGGAAAGGTGCAAACTAAATGGCCATTGGGGAGGGGGGAGTGACGTAGCAAGTTCCGATCCGGCGGGCAAAGGATATCAAACTGGGAGGTGATTGGGCACGCACATGAATTGAGGCATTTTGAATAGAGTACAGGTAGGTCTGGTCTATGTAATTTCAATCACACAATAAAGCATCTTACAACCCCTCTTTTTAAATAAAGGAACTCTTTCGGCTGGTCTTTGTTCTCGTAGATTTATTGTGTTCGCCTTCTGTCTACCATAGTACGTTTGAATACCAAATTATTCCACAACCGACCGGTATAATGCATGTAGTTGTGAATTGCATTGATGGTGAATACGCTTTAATCTCCAGGGTTTTTGAGATCTGACACAATAAATTGAACTTGTCTGAACTCTGTTCACTTCCTGGACACTACATTACACCCTATCACTTTGTAATGCTTCAAACGACCGAGTGCCACTTCGAATGGTGCAGCTCTACCTTTGTATACATCCCATACTGTGTTTGAATTATGGTCCGCTATGGCTGATGGTGGCGACAACCCAATATGCTTCTTCCCAACGTATGACGGAACTTGATCCACCTAGATAGCACAACCGAGACCGAAAATCAAAAGTTGGAACGTATCGTACAGCTGGATATCCCCATGAGGAACAGTAGACGTTACGCCTACTTGACCCCTTCGCGCAACTGATCGTCCCTAGGTTATTCAGTCTGCACACAAGGTAGAACAACTTATTCCTGCTTGTTTTACTGTCTTTCAGTAGTCTGGTTTTATTCCCTTCTTGATCACTTTCCATCCGCCCACCCAAGCACGCGGTTGACTGTACGCTTGGGCGGTTTATATTGCACACCACATCATATGACAACTATTCTATGTGTGAGATCAAACCATGGCGCTCATTTTCAANGACGCAGACACTTGTGCTTATAAACATGTATATATATATATATATATATGTATATGAATGTATGCCGGAAGATAGATGGGTGGATGGATAGATAGATACATGGCAAAATAGATACACGCGCATACACATTGTGATCTCTCTCTGTCTCTGTGATGATGATGTAACAGGTAACGAGTATGTACACATTTGGAACAGTGAATCAGAATCTGATATGGAATCCTCTCCAGATGCTTAATGTCTTTTTTATCCACCAGCCGCCGCNGGGGGGCAGACAATGAAAGCGTTCCAAACTCGAAATGCGTATTCGCAGAGCACACACAATACGAGATACCAGTCTCAATGACTGTTTGACCGAATGGACGATTTCGGACCGGAATCACATCGAAGCAAAGTAATAAACGCCCGACGAAATTGCTCATTGAATACAGCATACAAAATCGGATTCAATGCACTGTTCGCATAACCTAACCACGTGACAAACATGCGTAGATGCGGCATGTCCGGACAGTTCTCCTCTCCGCACAGTCCACGAACCAGATACATCAGTGTGAATGGAATCCAGCACAGAATGAATATGAAAATAATGAGACCCATGCGTTTTGTTGCCCGTCGTTCCCGATAATCCGCGCGTGCCAGTTCACGCTCACGATTGTTTGTACTTCCTCCTCCACCACTCGGACATTGGCTTAGCATCACCTGTGTGTCCGATTGTCCCCGTATCTCGGATAGCACAGACGATTCAACGTATCCGGTTGAATTGATCAATTTATCCTGGCCATGGTCTTTGGTCAGGGTTCGATTAATCTTGTGCGGTCCAGTAGCATGATGACCGTTGATTGGTTCAGAATAATGTGGCTTGCGGGGGCTGGTTAATCGCACTATGGATAAGGACAGTCTGGTTCGCATGTGCGACGCGGTTTCCACACGTGTTGTGCTCTCTTTAGCGGTTCGTCCATTCGAAAAAACTTGTTCCGATCCACTGATATTGTGTGAATGATATACCCCACCAGTGTGTCCGGGTAGCATGAAATTCATTTCGCTCGGCAAACCATTTTCTTCCTCGTTGTCTGCATCCTCGTTGTCTGCATCCTCGTGACTGGTCGAGTCCACATCTAGGCCGACCAACGGACTGGGTGGACAGATAGCCAAACGCGGTACTCTCTCTCCGGGATCTGGTGGGCATGAGTTGATACGATTTCGACCGGAATTGGCATTCGAACTATGAATCCATGGATCGTACGTACTGTGTTCGCTGATTTGTTCTGACGAATCTCTACTGAGCGGAGATGCATCTATCCGTACAACCGAAGACTCCATCTGAGTTGATGTGCTGATTCTTGGAACAAAGCTGGAATGGATTGTTTCTGTTGTTTTTGCAGTTGTTTTTGTTGGTGGTGGTGGTGTGGCTGCCGCCGCGGCCACTGCTGCTGACGTTGGACCAGATTGACCGAGTTCGATGCGATTCACCATCGAATCATAACATTCAAATCTTGCACCACCGTTCACCGGCTCGCTCAGGCCATGAGTTACTTCGTTCGGAAACTGGCTTGCACACAGACAACTCGACTCAGCGTCCGATTTCACTGTTGTGTCCTGAACCGATCGCACACGAGCCCGATGATTCTGACGTAACAAACGTCCACGAGCTCGAAGCACGATAAATATTTTCAAATACAATCCAATCATAATAATTAGGGGGATGATAAACGAGCCCATTGCCGAGTAGACCACATAATGCGGCTCGGTGAATAGAACACAATCGTATCGTCCCGTTTGTGGATCGTACACATGTGTTTTAGTCGATGGTTTCACTGTTCGATTGGGATAGTGTGTCCCGTTTGATGGGGTGAACAATTTCTCATCAATCTCCTTGCTTCCCCATCCCAATAGGCCAGGTAAACAAATCAAACCGGATAGAATCCAAACGATCACAATATAGACTAGCACTCGTTTCTGATTCTGATTACTCCGGTACCAGATTGGAAATGTGGTGGCTGTGAACCGATCGAATGCAATCGCAACCAGACTCCAAATCGATGCGGTACAGTAGAACACATCCACAGCAAGCCAAATATCGCACAGACAAGCACCGAATAGCCAATGCCCGGTCGCATCGTTCACCGCGGACAAGGGCAGGATGGTGAGCGCGAGGAGGAAATCACTGAGGGCCAAATTTCCGATCAGTACATTGGACATAGAACGTAGCCGGGTGAAACGGATCAACGCGGCAAACACGAGTCCATTGCCCACAATCGTAATCACAATCAACAGGAACAGAGTGATAATGACGATGACAAATAGCCACGTGTCATATGTGAGACTGAGAGAATCGGATATGGGACCACGTTCGCTCATTCTTCCCGCGGGCAGAATGAACCCAGTAGCCGACGGTCGTGGGACAGGGACAGTACTGGTCCGCTAACCTCACTGGCTGATAGATCACATTTGGTTGCCCTGTGTGCGATGCGTGACTAGGTGCAAATTGTCACCGAGAGTTCACAAACAGCAAAGTACGTTCCGAGATGTGGGTCATACAAACAATGACCGGATGAACTTTCCTGATCACTGGGGCTTTCCCAAACCGATCTGTATGGGATAAACACGGGTTGAGATTACGCCAACCTTTCTTGCATTTCAACAGCCAATCAGAACGCTCCGCTAGTCGACCAATGAAATCTGAGTGATAAATAACCACATCGCTTATTTTATGGTGTATGTTAACTATTGCAAAAACTGTCTCTCCTGGTTGGTTTGATAACAACGTTGCAATGAGAAAAAGAAAACACAACGTGTATATGCTTTCACGAACTTAGTGATATTTAACATTCTGTTGCATAACTCGTGCAAATATCAGTGCAAGTGACGGAAGAAAAAACAACAACAGCAGATCATCCCAGTCGTCGCATTCAGAGTTAAGTCAAGTCAAGTATTCGCTTTATACACCCCCAAAAGGTGGATGGATATTCAGCAGCCACATAGCCAACCAACAATTATCGAACACAATTATAGCAGAACTGTGGTAAACAAGGAGAAAAGAAAACCTAATTTACGATATGAGTGAGTTAATTTCCGAAGCGATGCGTTCTGGGCTATCAATAAATCAGGCAAGATAAGGCACCACAGAAGACCGGTAGACGGTCGTACGAGCAAATATACAATTATATCGGGACCGGGTGGAAGAGGAGGACATAAACTTGATAAGATCTCCATATAACGGATGTAAAGCGTTGTTTATGATTTTTGTTGATAACGAAGAGTATAACTTTGCATGTTGTAAAATGATGAAGTGATGGATATTTCCACGGGAAATCCCGCTACTTCTTAATAAATGTGTTAATGATCTGGAAAGCAATTTAAAGTCCTTCTTGAGCATCCCTGGAAGGTTTACGGGAGACCCGTACAAACATAGGGGCAAGACACAGGCACAAAGAAAACGTTTTCATCAAGAAGCGAGGGACGGATAGTGTTTTTCGACATAAGGCATAAAGTGATAATTTCCTGACCTTTCCAAATACAGAAATAACTTGGTCAGACCAGCATAAATTTCGGCTTATTAACACACCAAGATACCTAACATTTAGGGGACACATGAAAACAAAGCCGACCGAAGCACAGACATCACCACAATTCACTCACAGCATAATTTTAAGACCATATTCACTTTCTAATCATGTATCACGTTAATTATCTTCCTCTGGTGTGTGTGTGTGTGCGCGCGTGTTCGTGGGGGGTCAATACTCGATGGAGTAGTGGAGACGATTGAGGTACTTGTGAGTTGTGCGAATAGCGGCCACGGTGCATCTTCGATGGAACGTTCTATAGTAGATGGTGATGAAAAGTTTCTCTGCAGTCAGGCCATCAGCCGCGGCTGGCGGGAAATTTTCGCATCGTAAGTCTAGGACAAACAAACAATCGAGGGACAAGAAAGTACGGACGATGAAACAAACGGGTAGAAGCAAGTAAACTTGGCCTATCGTGTGTTTTTGAATTTGACGAGAACAGATGCCTTCCTCCGTGAACTTTTTATCAGGGATACGGAATAATACACAACGAACTTAGTCACTTTTTTTAGCACTATGGGTTAATGGGTTACTACTACTAATAATGATACTATTTATTAATGATAATGTTAGCTTTTGCAAATGGGAATTCGTCGTGTATATAACAAATGAAGAGTGAACTGAAAAGCTAGGAGGCACTACTGGACAGCTGTTTCGACCTGGTTGGATCTCATCTGTGCAGTGCCGGCGAATCTATCGACTCAACTAGGGATCGAACCCGGGACTTCATAGGCAGAACGCAAGCATGCTACCCACTCGGTCACTAGGTAGCTGTTCAGATCGTTTTTCATTTTCTATTTACACGATATAGCACAACCCATCTTTGCAAGTTTGTTGCGGGCCACGGACTCTGCTCAACTCAGCACTATTTGAAATTTAACTAAATCCTCCATTACTCACATGAACTAATGTTAGCATTATTGTAGCATTATTATTCCAGTTCTCCGTTCTTCTCCGTTTCTCCGTCGTTCTCACGAATCATTGATCAGATGGGAAGAGAATAGGGAATACATGAGTAGATGAACATATAATAAGGTGTACATATTATTTGAAATGCTTCGTGTGTATTTATTCGTGAGGGATAGGACTGTCTAGACCGCGTAAGTCGGGTGGATTGATTACCTACCTATCACATGAATGCCGGATGAGTGAGTTTGTTTTACTCCTGCTCTTCAGTAACCATTAACCATACTTCACTATTGGGGTCCTTATTCTTGGAGGAAGTTTTCCTTTTTTTAATTACAGAAATGACTAAATAACTAAAATAAGCACTGGGGTATAGAAATGCGCGGTTTGATGAACAGTGCAGCGAACCGATTTCCCGTTTAACCACTCACCGAGAACGATCGAGGTGCTAAACCAGATTATTGTCACGCTTTGCGAAAGTATTCCAACTGTTACTATTCTCAAGATGGAAGAAAACTATCTGCGCCGTATTTTGCTATACAAGCAGCAGGATGGAAAACATATTGAACGACTTTATGAAATAAATATGCAATTTCCCATATATTTGTTCTCTCCTTTGGAATTCTATCTACGACATTGTTAGCAAGATCGTTCAATGCGAAAAAAAGCCAGTTGGTAAAATCCAAAGAAGAGTTTTGCGTTGGTCTACACTAGCAGATATTGTAATCCGCACTTAAGTTCAAAGTTTTATTATGATTGTCCGTTTACCGAACGGGCTTAGAAAAGTAGTACGTGTATCTCAGATGAGTCAAACGTTGTCCCGTGTCGTCATCGTTTAAACACTTTCTATTCCGAATTTCCCACATGGCGCATCGTTCCACAACTGATTCTCTTGTGATGATTCTCTACCAACACTTAAGTAGCATCGGATTCAAAACTTATCCGCCTCCTATGCCGGCCCGAAAATCACACGACCGATCGGGTTCATTTATCGATCGGTCGGATAGTTCAGCCGGAACAAGGGACCGGGAGCTTGCCTAGCTAACCCGAGCGAGAACACACATCTTGTCTACAACCGCGAGTCTTTAGCAGGCTCAGTGAACTTCGACCGTACAGCAAACGTGCCTTCGTCACACGTGAAAACAAACGTCATCACAAAACGTACAAGACAATGTGAAACGACGGAGAAATCGCACTATCGTACTATCCACATAGCAACATGATACCTTAAATTGATATTGTGACATCTTAAATTGATATCCGGACATGTGTAATTTTTTATGACTGTGATTCAAAGGGAGAGAGATCAGGGAAATGGGCTATAGTTTAGTCTTCTGCTCACAAACGGTGACCATCACTTCGCAGTTTTCGGTTTATCCTAGTCGACTCCATCGTAAAATTACTAAGAGATTTACTCTATCGTCATTCAAACTTACACAAGTCATGATACATGAATGAACATGACAACACAAATCGATCTACGATTTATTTATGGGTAAGATACGGTCAGTCCGCCTGAACCTAAGCAGGCAATCTTATAAAGGGTCCACATTCGGAGACTTTGATTAGCCAACTAGGGGTTGCAGTGTGTGCACAGCCCAATACTTTGGAGCTTGGAATCCAAGCCGTCAGATCATATATCTGTCGGACACGGTTCACTCTCCGTCATAACTGAGCCGGTGACCAAAGTAACGGAATTTTCCGGAGTAAGTTCGTCCGCTTCCTCTTGAAAGGCTTGGAATCAGGGCGGTCCAACTTTTCTGAATGAGCTAGCAAGCTCAGGACCCGGGATATTGGCTTTTTACCCCGTTCATTCAAGTGCATAGATAAATGTCTTGAACGTTGGTTAGTGGTAAGTTGGACTTCTCTTCAACGGAGGCGTTATTTTGAATTTGAAGTAGTAGTAGTAGTAGTAGTAGTAGTAGTAGTAGTAGTAGTAGTAGTAGTAGTAGTAGTATCAGGATCGACTAAGGGAAATGACATTTTTTGACACTCACTTCCACCACACAAATGCACGAAAACTCTTTCACATGTGATGCTCATTCCCTCACCTCATATTTTTCCGGCTTTTCATCAGTGGTGATTCTTTAAAACATCGTGCCCAGCACAAGATGGAGAAGGACAGAAAACCGAAGTATAAACGGTATTAGTATCATGATAATTAGTTCGATTTATGTTATTGGTATCATTTCATGTATTACGAGTGTTATTTACAATCGAATCCGCTCAACCATACCGGGCGATAGACGTGATCTGCTACCAATGATTAATTGCGCTGTGAATTAAACCACATTCCCGATTGAGTTCGTCGATGGAATCATGTGTATTGAATGGGGATTCGATGTTTTTCATGCTCTCTATTCTGTCGATCGTTAGTGAAAAACGAAAACAAACAAACACGAAAAAACAATATTTACTCGTATTTTGGGTTATCATAAACCAAAACATCCAATCAGTTTTGTATTGAACCGTCGATGTCGGTGGCGTGAGACGGACTGTGGGGACAGAGCTCACTCGCGCTGAATGAGATGCCGTTCGGATGGGAACTCTTCATGTGACATGTGTGTGTGTATGTGTGCGTGCATGAATGGATGGGTGTATTTACATTGATTGGACAGTTGGGTTGTGAGTTTCGTCAGTCCTAGGTGCAATAAATCGGATATACAACTGGGTGCCCGTAGTAACTTCTACAAAGAATGAAATCACGTGAAGAGATCGCGATTGTTTTGTTCGACTGTTATTCCGGTTTGATGCTCGTGATCCAAAAGCGCTTTTTTTATCATCGAAAGCCCTCTCGATCAACTAACTGCCTTTCACAGCACAAAGGAACTGGAATTTTCCCAGATTGGATGACTGAATAGTTCATCCACATGTGAACGGCACTCAAAC